ACCACTGCGGGGCCGAAAGAGCGGGCTGGGTTCATGGAGCAGCCGGTGAAATAGATCTGGACACAGAGAGGGAGGTGGTGAGGAGGACAAAGTGCCTGTCTGCTCCCACAGGGCCCCAGCTCTCCCAGGCTCACCCAGCAGTCCAGGGGCTCGGCCAGGGGCTCCAACCCAAGATCTCCAGTTCCTAGGCAGGTGACCTCTCCCTCACCGGTCTCTGTGCACACTCCTCCCTTCTGTCCTGAGCTTGGGCTTGGTTTCCTGCCCCCACTTCAACTCCCACTTATTCCCATCTCCCCTCAGGCCAGAGAAGATTTGGGGGGCTCCAGTCTGAGACAGGGTACAGCAGCCCCACCCCAGGCCCAACTGCAGGGCTCACTGGTCCAGAGAGGTACTGCTCTAGGGCCCCATTATTTGCCCTGAGGGGCTCCCCACAACCCCATCCACATGGCAGCTCTGCTCACCCCCACAAGGTGGCCCAGGGTGACGGACAGGCCAATGGACAGGGCTGGGGAGCCCACAGGGCTGGTGCGGCGAGAGTCGGTAGAGGAGAAGACGCAGAGCGCCAGCTGGAAGGTCAGAATCAGCTCCACCACCATGGCCTGGCCGGGCGTCGTGTTGCTGTTGAGCTGCAAGGGGAGGTGGGTTAGGATCGCCTTCTGGCTCTATGGCCAGGGCCTTGGGGAAGTGGGTGTAGGGCCTCCAAGGACACCTACAGCCCAGTGCACGTCAAGTCAGGGAGGCCATCTGCCAGAGAGACTACATACTTCCCAGTACGTACAGAGCCTGGGGCGCAGGCCTACGGCCGAAGGGTGGCATAAGGGGAGCTTCTACTGACACAGCCCTGTCAACGGTTCTGCCCAGTCTCCAACCCCCACAAGCTGGCATTTACCCTCCCTCCTGTGGGCAGCTGCGCAGTTTGCCTACTGCACCCCCAGCCCACCTCCCGCCCGTGCCTGAGCCACTGCCAGGGCCAACCTCAAACCCGTCTCTCCAGTGCGGCTGACTCAGGGCTTGACAATGGCCGAGAAAATCCTCCTCTGTGTTTGACTAATGAACCCAGTTTGCATGGGACGTGGGGCTAAATCTGGGCCTTCGGGGCGGGGGAGGCAGCCGGGGGTCAGGCACAGGAACCAATATGCAACAGAGACCCTCACATTAGAGCAGAATTAGGGGTTCGCATGCACGGTCTCTAAACGGATCCCTTGACACCTGCTGTGGTAGGCGACCGCCGGCCCCTGCAATGGCTGAGAAAAACGGGACCCCGAGCGGCCAGGGTCAGCAGAAGCCAAGATTGTAACCCCGCTCCCTGATGGTTCCATGTAAACACTCCACCGAGGAACCGACAGGAGCTGGAGGCACAGGAGGAGGGCAGAGCTCAGGGGGAGGCAGGAGAAAAGCAGGAGTTTCCGACAAGAAAGGAGGGGCAGTAGGCACCAGGAGAGAGGCCAGCAAGGGGCAGCAAGAGGGGCCGGCAGAGGAGGAAGGTGAAAACCGGGAAGGCTGCGCAGGCACACCCCAGCCTGGGTATTCCTCCTGCTGCCCGGGGGTGCTCTGGCCCACACGGCGGCATCCATTCTGGAGCTGGAGTCCGGGGGGCCTAGGCCGGTCCCGCTCCACCCCCGTCCCGGGACACTCACCGCATTGACGGCCAGACTGCCCCGCGCATTGAGCGGTGCCAGCCCATAGAGGATGCCCGCCCCGGCGATGGCGCCCACCAGCTGGGCCACCACGTAGAAGACAGCCCGCAGCAGGGAGATCTGGTTGCCCACGAGGAGGGCCAGCGTGATGGCAGGGTTGATGTGGGCCC